CGCGCGCCGCGCCTCGCCCGCTGCCGCGCCGGCTGCCGCGCGCGGCCTGGTGGGAGATGTAGTCCCGTGGGTGGGGCAGCGATGAGCATGCGCCGCCCGGTGCACGCTGGGAGCTGTAGTCCGCGAGGCCCTCCCACGCACAACCCTTAACTCCTCATTTTCCCCTTCTAAAATCCCCCATTTCCTTCCCAGCACCTGTGACATACGCTTATATATATATATATACACACATATATATATATATTTTACACGGCGTTACTCCCACACCCGTAATCATGAACATCCAAACAGACCACAAAGCCCACGCTCCAGAGCATGTTACCCTGAATTTATGAAGTGCTCATGGAGTGGTGCGACTCCTCAGGAGAAACAGATGGTTTTCGGTCCTGGTAAAATACAGGTTTAACAGCTCCACCTGCAGCCCAGCAGCTGCCAATCCAACGTTCATGTGAATTAAGTCCCCCTCTCCGAGTCCCTTTGAGAGCTTTTTCTGGCAGAATGGCACACGAATATCAGGTTGGATTCAAGGACACACTGAAAGGCGCTGATAAAAGTTGTTTGTCTTGCCATGGCACATTATGAAAGCGTGTCGAGGCCAACGGCAGCGTCTTGGACAGATGTTTGCGTGCTGCAGTGAGCGCAGGTTTGTTATCTGCTGCCCACGCGCTCAGGCCTGTTATCGCCGCTGCCCCTCCAGGCATCCTCATGAGCCAGAGCAGCGTGCTGGAAACAAAACAGTGAAACGCTGCTGCTGAAAGACGATTTGAATTAGCAATTTCCTCAGCTTTAGGTGCAAACATCCCATGGGAGCACCAGGGTCTCGGCAGGGCTGCTTCCTTAGGCTTTTTCTCCCCTTTTCCTATAAAACCACCCAAGTTGCTGGCCTTCTGCCATGTTTCTCTGCTAGAGCCCCCAAGGGCTCGTTTAGGGTCACTTCGAGCAGTGAACTTAAGTCGTTTTAACGCACATGTTGCTTGAGCAGCCCCAGCTCACCCGACACTGCAGGTGTAAGGTGACATCAGGGAGTCAGGTAAAACCAACGAGATTAAATTCAGACCCCGTATTGAAAACGGGCCTTTTCACTCACTGGTACTTTTACTTAAATCAATAACATTTCTCGCAAAAATCCAAAATAAAACGGGCGGCCGTGACAGCTCCTCCCCTCCCCACTCCACGATCATGGCGGCCCCCCAAGCCACCCCCCCCCCGCCACGTGAC